CTATTTACATTTAGTATGTTATGTTTATATAAATGTCAAAAAAATTTTGAAAAATTATTATTTTTCTAAAACTTTTTTGGGAGACTATTCAATGTGTAAATAAACAATTATTTTTCATTTTCAGATCCTGTTTTCTTCACCCATCGTTATGGCTACTAAGAAAAGGAAAATAGATGCTGAGTTTCGCCTTTTCAATGAAGAATGGGGAGAAAAGTACTTCTTTGTGGAAACAAACAACCAGAAAGCTAGTTGCATCATATGCAACGAAAGTGTTGCCATTTTGAAAGAGTACAATCTTCAGCGTCACTATGAAACAAAACATCTGTCAACATATTCGAAGTTTTCTGGAAAGTTGCGTTTTGAGAAATTTGAGTTCATGAAACGTACTTTGGAATCTCAAAGGAATCTCTTCACGAGAATATTTGCTGAAAATGATTCTGTCACTCGTACAAGTTACAAAATAGTGCATAAGATGGCAGAGCGAGGAAAACCGTTTACTGACGGCAACTTCATCAAAGAGTGTATGATGGAAGCAGCAAATGACTTGTGTCCTGAGAAAGCCGATTTGTTTGGAAGCATCAGCCTTTCAGTAAGTTCAGTTGTGCGGAGAACAGAAGAACTTGGAGAGAACATAGTGTTACAGATACGTGAGAAAGCTAAGAACTTCTTGTGGTATTCTCTGGCACTGGATGGGTCTACTGATCTTTCGAGTACGTCACAACTTCTCGTGTTCATTTGTGGTGTTAATTTGGACTTTCAGATCACAGAAGAGTTGACATCCGTTTGCAGCATGCATGGAACAACAACTGGAGAAGACATTTTCATGTAAGTGCAGAAAACCTTGCAATGCTATAACCTTCAGTGGAATCAACTTCGATGTGTTACAGTTGATGGAGTGAGGAAGGGTCTGGTGGGGCAGATACGAACTAAGTTGGAAGATCTTCAACTCCCGGGCGCTCTGTTTATACACTGCATTATACATCAGCAAGCACTCTGTGGGAAAGACTTAGATATTTCTTGCATACTGAAACCAGTCGTTTCTGCTGTGAACTTCGTTTGGGATCATGCACTTAATCACCGCCAGTTCCAGGCTTTTCTTGAAGAAATTGATTCTGAATTCTGTGACTTGCCTTATCACACAGCAGTGAGGTGGCTCAGCTGTGGTAAAGTCCTGTTTCGTTTTTATAAGCTCCGAAGAGAAATAGATATTTTTCTCACCGAACAGGATAGAGCTGATCCACTTCTGTCAGATTCTACCTGACTGTCAAAGTTGTCATTTTCGGTTGACATCACATCTCACATGAATGAATTGAACTAGAAACTTCAGGGGAAGGATAACCTTATCTGTGATCTCTACAGAATCATCAAAGGATTTCGGAGAAAGCTATCATTGTTTGAAGCACAACTGGAAGGAGGAAACTTCTCTTATTTTCAGTGTTTTAAAAAGTTTCGCGCTGGAATCGCAAAAGATGTCAACCTCGAGTTTCCGAAGAAGATTACTAGTGACTCAAATAAGCATTTTTTGGAGAGATTTTCAGATCTCGACAGAATTGAGAGTGACATTCTTCTGTTCCAGAATCCGTTTGATTGTAACCTTGATGACGTGCCAGTCGAACTACAGTTGGAGCTCATTGATTTGCAAACAAATGACTTGTTGAAAGAGAAGCACAGAATTGTTGAATTTTATCGCTGCTTACCTGATGATGAGTTTTCAAAGTTGAAGAAATTTGCCTCTGGTATGGCATCAGTGTTTGGAACAACTTATGTCTGTGAGCAAACATTTTCAAAAATGAAGTATGTGAAGTCAGCACATCGAACGAGGTTGACTGATGAACGTTTGAAAGCAATTCTTTTGGTTGGATGCAACAATTCCAAAGCAAATATTGATGATATCTCAAAAGCTAAACGCCAGTTTCACAAATCTCACTAACCTTTTTTGCTGCTTACATTATCCATGACTTCAATAGTATTATTTAAGTCGCGGTATTCTCAGATAAACTGATTTCTTCACAATTATCAGATAAATCATAGGAAGATAGAGCGAGAAATTTATGTATTGATCTGAATATGAAACCTCAACTGAGTTTTAAGCTGTGTGAGAGATAAGCAGGCTGGACATGTTTGATGTTAAGTGAAATAATATATATTTATGGTAAAGCGAAATAAAAGCGTGAGAACTTGCGTACATATTTTGACATTGTTCCATACTGAATCCGCGAATAGACCTTCGGTTTTTTTCTATCAAGATGAATCTCTGCAGAACTAGTCACGAGCAAAGCCAAGAAAGTTTATGCGAAAACATATAGGCTATGATCTTGCAAGAAAACTCGTATTCTTTCTCTTAGGTAGCGTCATCGGGTCCATGTGCTGATCATTCTCTCGCAGCATTCCTCGGCTGAAACATACAAATATCATCCACTTGGTCAGCGAAAGGACGCGTCCGCATTTTCGTGGGGAAAGTAGCTGTTATCTGCTATGAAAACAACAAAAACACCTTGAACTGAGCAATTTCGATTTGACAGTGTTGTTTGATTCCAAAAATTGGGCATATGGTAGGGGTGTAGTTATTAGTTTATTTTAAACTCTCCTTCTTTGTTCTGGTTATCCTCTGCTACAACTTGATTTTTTACTTACTGTTACGACAGCGGTAGTCACGTGACCCTGGTAACACGTCATGATATTCTCGAAGGATCGGGAAACATCACGAATAATCCAGTATGTGCTAGGTGCCCTCTATTCCTGTATATAAGTGCGCCGGTTAACGTGAGACTAATCAATTGGAATTGAATTGCAGACAGATATAGAGACGGACAATTGAGTCGTTCGTTGTGAATTTAAGTTATAGCGTGACTGTGGAAATTAAGTGTATTGCAAAGTTGTATTGAGAAAGAATAAACTTGTTTTATTTACGAAAGGACTTGTATCGCTAAAGTTTCTTCGGAAATAATTTTTACGAAAAATTAACGAACGACCAGAGGCGTAACATTACTCGTTACAAGCACCTTTGTCCTTGGTTTAAGATAGGTTTAATTCTGTAGTAAAATAAATAAGGTAAACGTAAATTTAGGCATAATTATGTGAATGTGTAGATGCATACATATACGAGTAATTAACATGTGAAAATATAACACACAATGTCTTCTGATTTTTTGTTGACAGTTAGGTCATAACAGTCTGTTTGTCTTCGTAATGTTATAGTTTCTAAGTTAATTAACTTTGTCTTAACTTATGAGTCAGGATGTTCATTTATTGAAACCTAAAGAAAGGCTAAAACTTTAATAATATGAAATTCAGTTTGATATTATTTCTAATTGTGACATTATAATTGTAAAGCAGTGGACTTCACTTGGCTTTTCCTGTTATATTTGGCTATTTTAATCTGGTATATACAAAGCTACTGCTGTGTTTGTTGTTATTATTAATTTTGCACTTACACCTGCATATAAACAGTAATTTGAAATGTATAGTTTGGTTACATTACAGGTTTATATCCCATTATACAATTTTATATTTCAAATAGTCATTCAGTTACTCAGAAAATCTTCCTTCACTAAACTTCTCCATTTTTTTAGTGTATTTATGGATGTTATGTGCACTCAGCGATCCTTCCTACCTTCCATCGTCGTTGTTACTGGCTCCTTCAGGTTTGTTACAATTTATTTCTGCCAGTGACTAGTTGTCTACTTAACATTAGTGGCGTATAAAAAGTTCGGAATCAGTAAATCTCCGACCGACATTATATGTATTTTCTGTGTCAGATCTAAACAAACACAATATTTAGTAAAGCAGCCAATGGTGAATGTTGAGTCTTGTCTCTCAATTGATTCCTGAATCTTGACATACCCACAACTTTGTTAGTATTATAACTAATAAAAATACTTTAGGGAAAAGTACGTGAGAATTATGTTTAAAGCCAAATTTTAGATCACATTGATACTTTTAAGCTATTTTGTAATCATATAAACATGAAAATATTAGATCCAAGAACCTATTTCATTAGAAACTTGAAAAAATTCGGAAAATGGTAGCTTTTTATTCTGTTATTACATCAAACATTGAATGATTTTTATTCATGACACATCTGAAAAAAAGTACATGAGGCCAGGTAAAAAATTTGTGGTTCGGCATTAGCACTTTTCAGAAACCAAAAGGAGGTAAGTTTTTTTGTTTTGTTTTTTTTTGTAGAAATACTCCATTTGTAGTGTCAACCTCACAGGTATTTAATATTAGTAAAAAGTATTGTCATTCGTCAATTAAATATTTGTATAGGTGACGCTTCCATCAAACATTTGGAAATAGAAACGGAACCGTAGAGATAAAAATTTATAAAAAATTATTTTTATCTCTATGAGCGGAACCTACGAAATTTGAAAATACAAAATTTAAACTCGGCGTCAGTTTTAGATGTGGAGTCTGATGAGAAACCAGTTTGTTTTTTACCTGGACTAATGTACAGATTTTCTATTTCAATTTTTAGTTTAAATATATCAAGAGGAATTAAATATAAAAATTCTTGTATGGTTACATTTAAATTAAATTTTAAACAAAGAAGAGCTGAACAATAATTCACTAACAGCTGAAATATTACAGTCAAACTTGTTTAAAACATATAATACATACCTCTCTCAAAATATATAGGTTTATAGACTTAAATGACAAATCTATATTGTCTAAATAATTTTTTGTTTTCATTTTTAAAATAAGGTTTAATTAGTATGTAAAACTTACCCACTGTGTAGGAGTTTGTTTCGTATGTGGAGTTAGAGTTGAAAACTCGCCAGAGTTCTGTTGCCAAGTTATAAAAAAAAATTGTCAAACTTTACATTTTCTAGAATCCTGACATTGTGCTTGTTCATTATCTGAACGTTCCCTACAGTGATGACAATAAAATACTCATTTCTCCTAGTCTCAGCTACTGTGCTGATAAAAAAGAATGGACAAAAGATGAGTTAATTGTGCAACTAAGACCCATGTGTAAGTCTGTTAGTAGCTATTTTTCTAAGTATTTAATTGTCAAAGTTTTTTTATCTCTTAGCAATAAAATAACGAAACAACAATAACATTTTTTACTTACAGTTATAAGAGAATTACAAAATACATTTAATAGTAAATTAACATTAATCTGTAATCATTTTAAATGCAAGATGGTGGAAAGACCAATTGGCCATCTAATCAGTGACTTCTACGATGATTAGTTTTAAAATGAATAATTAACTAGGCATAAAGTTTTCTCTTATTATTTAATTAAACCTTACTTAGCCAAGGCTATAGGCAACCCAAATGAATCAGATCACATAGTGTGGCCAGAATCACCTCACCAGATGCAATACTCAATTTTCAAAGAATTACTGTAGTCATATGCATGTGTACAAATATAAGTTCACTTTTCACAGTTTTAATTATTTTATTCTGTATTTTGTATTAAGATGCATTTAGGCATATAATAATAAACACTCTACAAACACTTGAATGTTACATATATATATATGAGACATAGAAATTCTCCTTCAAAAACTAGTTGTTGTTTTTATTTTGTCTATTTCTATTTTTATTTCTTTTGTTGTTGTTTTAATGTAGTTTATTTTATTGTTATGTTTTAGAACACTTAAAAATTGTCTTGCATTATTAATGTATTATTTTGCATTTTTTTCTTACTTTACTTTTTCTTCATAGTTTGTCTCTATGGTAGACCAATTTTATCTTTGTGATTGTTTTATTCATGGGTTTCAAGAACTTTTTTTTTTCAATTTAATTTTACTCCATTCTTTGCTTCTGATTGTCTATTAATAATCTGGTAAAAATATTTTGTCTGATTTCAGTACAGTAGGTACAGATTTACTCTTACTTACTAGAAGATTCACTTTACAGTGATTTTAACCATTTCTTTATTTTTTTCAGATATTATTGTAATAGCATTTTTTGTAATTATGTTATTGTTTGTGAAAAACTAGTATGTTTAAAATATTATGTGACTTGCTCTTGTGGCTTATTGAAATAAATTAGAAATAATTGTGTAGTTTTCTGCATAAAGAGCCTGTAAATGACACATCTTTATCATTACATAGAAACTTAGGGAAATTGGCATGTGTTTTAAACAGTTGTTTGGGTATAACAAAAAAAAGATGATGTATGGTTACACAAAATGGAAAACATTATTACAATTATATAAGCTGCTGCTTTCATTACAATATTTACACAGTCTAAATATCTGTGTGACTAGTAACAAAATTGTTGTATGTGATGTTTGTATGTATGTCTTTGGACAAAACTTTTTTGATGTTATCTCTTTACAGTCTATAATAAGAATGAACTAGATTTGAACAATGAACTAGAAATTTCGGTAAGTAACTTTGCTAAATAATAAATCATATATATATGATTTAGTAAGAGTGCATGTTGTAGGTTTTACATATGTTACTAAGGTTAATTTCTTTAAAACGATAGAATTTTAAATAGCTTTAAAAATTGCTGTGTTAAATATTGTGGTTACCATATTGTTAAGGTTAGAACTCAAATGGATTATATTATAAACTTCAATGTTAAATTGATATATGCATTACATTTGTCTCACACTATTTAAATTCAGTAAAACTTTGTTAACAAAGGTTTCAGTAGTGTTATTTTCTGATAAAGATTAGTTGTCTTGAAATAAGTTATTTTTATGAATATTTATGATAAAAGCAACATGTTTAAAATTGTCAACTATTCACATGTTTTATATAGCAGTGACTTGCTAGATAACAATAAACCTTCACAAGTATTTGACCTGTGTATTTCATGCCTGCCACATATTAGGAAAGAAGTATTCTGTTATGTATTCATAACATAGGTAAATAATGATAAAAATAATTTAATCAAGTTTCAGTTTCTATATTCAGTATTTATTGAGCAAGCTTCTGCCGTCTTTCTTGGAGCTATCCTCAGATTAACTGTTTTAAAAATACGATCAGTTAGCTTGAAGAGAAGAGATAAAGTATACTCAATAAACATTGATCATGGAAAACAAAATCGAAAATCAAGCATATTCTGAAACCTACAGATACAAGTTTAAGTATTTTCTTTAAAGTTAGAAGAACCAGATTTTAGTTATAGGACTGTTTTGTAGTGAATGTGTTATATGGAGTTGAAATGCTGTGTATGAAAACCAGCAATCAATTTTACTAGAAAAGAAAATATTCTTATTACTATTAACTCACAAGAGAAATGAAATCTACATCTCTGAAACTTTACAAATAGCTGTATACACTGACCTTATCATGGATCTTATTATAACTTAAATGTGAAGAGAGGATTCTTTTTTCTGTTTTACTTATCTTATTTACAGTTGTGTTTAATAATTATTTTGCAAAAAAAAGAATATAACTTTAAAAGATATAAACACTTCAATAAAATAGGTAAACAGGAAACAAAACTGACAAATATACATTATTATTATCAGTTAATAGAAGCTTGAATTTATGGAGTTAAATTTTGAGCTTATATAACTGAATTTATGTAATCATTAAATATCAAGGTGTTCTAAAAAGTTTTAATTCTTACCTACACCTCATGTTTGTATAGTCATTTCTTCTTAAAGTGTATGATCTCAGCATAAAGTCAGATTTTGTAAAATCAATAGTGCCATAGCTAAATAGACAGTTAGCTGTATTTGAAGAAAGTTTTAGTACTTGTCTCTCTCTCTTCTGAAGCAGACAACAGAAACCATTGAGGCTATTGTTCAACAACTTATGGAAAAGCACCAACCTAAGATGACTGTTAGAACACATGAGTGTGACACAACTACTCCCTTTAACTCAACTGTTGCTAGAAAGTCGGTGACTGTAGGACATAAGAAATGTAGTCATAATTTACATCAGATCATCTCACCCAAAGCCCAGGCTGCAGCTTCTGCTGTCAGTACTGCCACTGCTACTACAGTATCAACAGTAGCAGCTCAAACTTCTGTTTCTAAAACACCTAGTCCAAAAAACAGTGACCAGTACCAATCAAACAACAACAATGGCCAGTATCTTTACAAGGTCTCACAAACAAAATGAGGTAATTCTTGCTGCACCACAGGTACCAGATGGAACTCCTCAAGAAGCCTCAACGTACCCTGTATGTTCAAGCATCAACACTAATACCACATCTCTGATCTTAAACCTTTCTCAGCTTCAAACAGGTGGAGGACTCTTGATTTTGAACAGTGCTGCATCAGCAGCAGATATGGGGTTAAATTCAACCTCCTTAACTCCTATTACTCTACTTTGTGGCCAGAATACAAGTACTTCTTTTATCACCCCTGAAAAATCAACTGGTGCTCTTGACTCAGACTCCATGGAAACCTCAGGTCCTGTATCTACACTGCATAAGCATATGAACTTTGGAAATGAATCTCATCCTATCAAATCAGACATGTCCATAAAGAGTGGAGATTTTGACTTCAGCTCAAGTGTTTCTCATGAAAAAGATCCAAACCTAAGTCAGGCTCTTCATGATTTCACTCTTGATTCTGATGGAAGCTTAGCACTACTTCAAGATCTCCAGAATGAAACATCTCCAAATCTCTTTTATAGTTCTTCATCATTATTCAGTGATAATTCTTCCCCTGTTTCAATTAAAAGAGAACCCATCAACCACCCAGAAGTGGTGGTTGACCTGAACCCCATGGACTTTATTGATAATGATCTTTCAACCCCTGATGATGAGGTGTTTAATCTTGACACCTTTTACATGCTCACTGACCTACCAAACCTAGAGGACCTTCATTCTGACCTAGAGCCCGGGACTGAAATTGGTGGAAGCAGTAGTACCACTTCTTTTGCAAGTTCCACTGCAACTTCTGTGTCTAAGAGTAATCATCAGAATTCTCAAACATTCCAAAGCACAACACAGCACATCACCGATTACTGTCCTCATTGGTCTTTTACAGAAGTAAGTTACAGAGTGTATTATATCATGTACGTATTATAAAAATTGTAGTTTTTATACTTGTGTCTGTTAATGTAACATTCCAAAATAATACCATAGAAGGCATAATATTTGGATATGAATATAATAATAAATCATAAAGTGTCAGATATTTAAGGGAAGGTTGTGACAATCAGATATTAATTGTTATGTTTTGTAACCTTTACGGTCAGTGAAATATAATTATAAATTAATTATTATTTGTCCTCTTTATTAGTATTACTAGCTATTAGATACTAATTACCAATAAATCTCATTGCAGTGAGTATCTAATAGTAATATAAATAATAATAAAACATTATTAAATAATCAGTAATTAGACTTAAGATGATCTACAGAGAGTTTAAGTACGTTATATTAAATCAATTTTTACATCCTCAACATATGACAACCTCAGTCAATATAAAGTCGCGATGGAATGACATATATCAAAAATACATTTTTTACATTGTTTGGCATATCATACATAGGTAATATGATGCCACCGAAAATTGGTTGCTTTTAGGACGGGCATATAACAATCTTTTCCGATAAAAATTATTCATACACTCATGTCATAAAGTTCGTTCGGATCAGGGATTTAAATTTTCCATTACGAGAATATTCCTTATATTTAATGACATTGCAAAATAAAGGAATGTAAATAACTTGGGGCATCAAAACTATTCAGAAAGAGACCTGAAATAAGTCTTGCCCTAGTTGTGCGGAGTCTTGTCATAAATGAGAATCCAAAAGCACAAAGTTCAGTAGCAAAAGCTGTCCACGTGTCTCATTCAAAAGTACGCAACTTAATATAGAAGTATCTCCGTCTAGAAGAGTGACATAACTCATGTATACCAAAGTTGTTTCCATGATATCCATTCAACCTTCGCATACTTCAAGCAGCTGAAAAATTAAATGGGTATGTATGCTATTCCATACAAAGACGTACTTGTATAGTTGTCATATACAGTAGTTGTGAAGGTTTGTGCAATTGGTCTGTTGAAACTAGCACTAGGAAATCACTGCTGTCGTATACTAGATGGATTATGGAAAGCATACAGGGAGGATTGTAGTGCTTTGAACAAAATAGTCTTACGACAGGGCCTTTTGCAATAGAAACTACACTGCAAAGCTATTGTCAAGATGCGTGGTCGTCAGACAGAGCATTACTGTTTATAATAACATGGACTGTAACAACGTGGGGAAGCTCCACACTAGTTTTAATCTAACATATTCAACCTCTGTTCAGACTAGTCACCATGACAACTGTCTATTTTTATTTAAGGAGAAGGCATAATATTAATTCAAAAAAGGTGGTATTGAAAATGTAGACAAAGGTAGTTAATCAAAAGAAAAAAATCATAAAGGTTTGCACACATGCATGATGAAAAGGAATAGGAAATACTAACAAGCGGGTGAAAGTGTAGAGGAAGGTAAAGCTTCCTATAAAGTGTAAACAATTTTGATACTTGAAGCTCCAATTTTTACTAAAGGTGTGGCGATGCAACCATACGATACGAATATCGTATCATGAAGGCGTGATATACGATTGTATCGATACATCGTTCGATACGATTTATGTATCTTCACGAAATTTGGCGAGTTTTCGGTAAACATTAAGTCAGTTGTACAGAGAAAAATCAGAATTTATAATAAAATATTTTTGCTAAAATTTAATGATTCACTAAAGGAAGATGAGTATTGAGTACTACATGATGTCTTCATTTCTTTTATCAAAAACATTACATGCAAAGTAACACAACAAATTAACAATAACAAAATAGATAGACAGATATTAACTTTTTATATTTTTACTTCTCTTGCCAGCTGCCATTTAGTTGATCAAACCAGAGAATTTGTAAAAAAGCATTGTTAGTAATATAGATAATAAATTACACACAAGACTGTCAAACTTTGTAACAAACAGTTGGTAAAACTTCTGTATCAATATACGTATCGTATCGCGTCATCAATATCTAGATACGTATCGTATCAACTACTACGATGACATACGCACCCCTATTTCGTACTCATTAAGTTAATTATATCGTGCTACCTCGATTGTTTTTTGGCCACCTACACCCCAGTAACAAGTAAATAATTGTGGGTTGGGGTTCATTAAGAGCTACAATAATTGATAGATGAGCTAATGATGTTGCGATGGTGGAAAGGGTGATTTTTATGGCCGCCATAAACCATAGGGTGCTAATAATGAACTTTGCACAACCAACATGTTGAAAATGTTCGATGTGACTACTATTTATCTTCTGTATTGTTAGCGTTAATAAGATCATGTATCGCACATCTGAGTGATGCTGCTCACTTTCCAACAGTTGCACTTGGTATCATACATGTTTTCCAGGTTTGTCATGTAGGGGGCGTATCATGATACATCATTGACTTGAGTTGGCTCCAACCCCAAAAAAAGCAGTTGGAGAATTTGGGACCATTTCCATGGGTATGGAAAATGTCTGCTGATTACTTGTTCCTCAAAAGCATGTTTTAGTTACCACCTTAATAGACCGTTTAGTGTGGGGTAGCACCATCTTGCATGAAGACTGTTCCATTCAGAATTCTTCTTTCTAGCAACATATATTAGTCGCTTCATCATGTTCTCTGTCACTGTGACTGACATAGCATGGGCTGCTCAATGAAACGAAGACAAACTTAATTATTTGATCCAGCCCATTATAGCAACAACTATTATATAAAAGTATGTGAAATGCCTTCTTCCCCATATAACATAGTTAACGATGTTGACCTGGCCATGGAGAAAAAGGTGAGCTCGCCAATCCGTAAAGTGTTTTCTGGCTAGGTTCTATTTATTTACACTCAAGCCAAGAATTAGTATTCAACGTCTAGTTGTTAATATGCATGTTTTAGGGGTGCAGTCTTAATGTTGTTGACTTAGCCATGAAGAGCAAGTGTGCCGTATAAAACCATAAGGTATTTTCTGACTAGGTGCTGCAGTTTCCACTCAAACCAAGAAACTGATGCAGTTTGTTGAAAGTTTTTATCAGCTTTCAATAAGCCTCATTGCTGCAAGGTTCTCACTCTGTACCATTTTCATATTAATAGGATCTTAATGTTGCGAGAGTTATTACCAATGCTGTAATAATGTTTATGATAGCAATTCTGAAATCTAGAGTTAACCTGTTACAATTATTTTTGGTTCGAACCCATCACTCAACCTTCTCGCTCGTTCAGCGGTAGGGGTATCATATTGTGATGGGCAATCCTACTGGTAAAAGAGTAGTCAAAATATTGGCGGAGGGTGGTGTTGATTAGCTGCCCTTTCTCTAGTCTATCACTTCTAAATTTGGGATAGCTAATGCCGATAGCCCTTGTGTAGCTTTTTGCGAAATTCAACAAACACAAGCAAACGAACAAACACAACCATTTTTAATGGCAAAATGAATCCTGTCGTATTTGACACTTGTTTCATACAGTCCCCGAAATGTAAACTTCACAACCAACTCACTCTGCCGCATGTTATTTCTAACACAGTAATCGCCCTTCTTATTGTTTCATCTACCAAATATTATAGCTCTCTGACTTTTTTTTTTTGTGAATTATAGATTTTCGAACATGCCAACCTACCTTATAATAACAGTGTATATTTAAATTTGTTTGACAGTTAGGGCAGTGTTTCTCAAACAAGCAAGTTTCCAGGGGAGTCATGAGCTGTCTGCGTTAAGTCAACTTTTTTTTTTTGAGTCCTCGGGGTGTTTGAGAGGTGCACATATCATCTTTCTTATGAACTATGACGAACTGTTTTATCGTCCTTTTAGAGAATGAAGAAGATATGCTTAGAAGAATGTTGAAAATATTACGTACAGAGTATAAAACAGACGAGGAAATATTGAAAATGACAAAAACAAAGTGTACACTAAAAGCAGACATCCGAAAAAAAAAAGTGTCAGTATTTTGGACAAATTTTCGGAACAAATAAGATCCAAAGAACTTTGATAGAGGACGAAGTGAATGGCTGTAGAAAGACAGAGGTTGACCGCGGGAAAATAAAGGGTCACAAATGTCACGGAGTGATCCCTGTTCAGCTACAGTGATTGTGTGAGGAAGGCATGACGAGCGGTGACAGCTAATCTACTGGCAGGAGTAACTACAAGCAGATGATGAGAGATAATAGGGAGTTGCGACCATCAAAGCCCAGATGCGGGATCGTCCGGCAAATCCGGCTGAGAAACGCCACTCAGTACACTTTAATGTGCAAACCATGAGGTGAATATTGAATATATTTTGTGAAATACCATATTTTTTTCGTGAACACAAAGAGATGTGTAACTACTGACAGCTCATGACGTCACAAATGTAGAATTGTGGCTTGTTTACATATCCTTGAAGCTCAATGATATTTTGGTCATTTCGAAAGATAACTGTATGGGACAGCTAGTGGTCAGAATTACGTAATATCATATCACTGATTTGAAGAGAGCAATAGGCTGATTCCCACTCAGTTTTCCATGTGAATTGTACCTCTACATGGCGAACCTTTGGAATGCATTACCTTCAGATATGGTAGATGCACCGTGACTGGGACAGTTCAATAGAAGGCCTGATGAATACTTTAAAAAATTAGGAATGGATGTAGGCAAATGAATGAGACAGTATCTTGTTATTCCTTGAATGTTACGTAAAATTAGATACTACAAAGATAATATTTAATAAAAAACGTTTAGACATGTTTTGAAACACTTAGTAAAGAAATTTGTTTACAATAATCGTGAGTCCCCCGGTGGGATAGAAGTAAGTCTTCGGATTTACACCGCTCAAACCAGGGGTTCGATTCCCCCTTAGTGGACACAGCAGATAGCCCGGTTTGGCTTTGCTATAATAAAACACACAAACACAATAATCTTAAAAATGGATTCGTTTGTTACATTCAATTTCTAGAGAAACTTCAAATTTTTATATTATCAATTGAGTAACGTCATTAATTTTGAAGTACAAGTATCATGTTCAGTATAAAAAGAGTCTCTGAACACTTGGTACCATTTTAATAAGTACTTAAGTGGTTTCAGTTTATCAATGACCTACGTGTCTATTACTTTAATTTGAAATACAATAATACAAGCTTTATCATAAAACAAGAGTGTCCTTTTTTATTTAACCTTGCAAGAACTAAATTTCAATTACTTTAAACTTTCTACCAGTAGATATCAACTAGATTTACTGGAAATCAGTTGATACTAGTTACTACTAATGTGCATATTTAGCTGGCTCTCAAGATCCCGTAACAGGCAATGTCGCCCTGTCACTTCTCAGTCCTAGCATTCCTGAAACACTTTGATCGATTATTTTAGCTGCTTCTCGGTCCTAGCATTCCTGAAACACTTTGATCGATTATTTTAGCTGCTCATCTACTCGCTGGTCCATACAATAAAACATAATCATATAATATTTTGTAAGATATATGACCTTGAAGATAATATATCAAGGTCATAAAAATAACAGGTGCTCTTCTAAGTTAAAAGAGTTGTTAAGTAGCTATACGCATACACTGGTCATCCTGTAAAACAAAATCTGTCATTGGTTATATTAGTTGCCACATTTTTTACTTCCAGTTAACTCTGCTACTAAACCTAATAAACTGCATTTTGTATGACACTTCCAATAATATTAACTGGGTAACCCTATGTTTCTTGGTGTTTCTAATCATTTGAAACAAGTTGAATCAACATTCCTCAAGTGAAGTGTGTGCTATGCTCTCTTTTTTTCCAAAATGGAACCACGTTTTACAATTATTTCAATGAAAAGATCGTTTGGTTGGTTTGCCACTTAGAAGTGTGTAACAAAAGCAAAACCACGAAACCTATTGGGAACTAGTGATACAGCTGCTTTATATTTAATCCTCAAAATATCTCAAAGTTTAGAGGAAATTAATCTAGCAATTTTGTATGCAAGAGCCATCTTAACCTTTGTTCTCGTTCATATTAATGGAAACCGGTACGTTGATCCCAGTATAATATCCAGCTGAAGTTTTCTGAAACAAGCCAGCTACAGTAAGAAAAAAAAAGAGCTCACAGACCTTTGTAGAAAAATGGTTTTCCATACATTATTTTGTCCCACCTACTCTTACTCAAATTCACTGTGGCCAATATGTTGATAAACAGTCGAAGACCATTGGATGTACTAACGTGAAACATTAGTCTCATTACCCAAAATTAACCATTCTTTGGCTCATGCTAACTTTAAAACATGTTGGACAACAAAAACTACATGTTTGGCATCAAATCTACCAAAACTGTAATGAGATTTTAAGAATCCACTCCAGTACATCCACAGTATACAAAAGGATCGACACTTAAGCCAGTCGTTACAGTTGTGAAAGCATGGAGTCGGCCGTCCTGGTGCTTTGAGCATTAAAAACTGTTTGTAAAGAGCAATAGAAAGCCATCGTATGGAGGAATGAATCGTATTACTGATTGTTTGCTATAGATGAACTTGCTTCGATTTGACAGAAATTTTAATATGATTGTGTCATTGTAAATCGAGTGTTGAAATAATACCATTGTGTAGACCAGTTTCAGCTGGTTTGTCTACTGATAAAGTTATGGAAGCCATAAATGCTCTCTTGTGTTGGAACTTCATACAGCACTATACTTCTGTCAGTATGATGGTGTATCATGCCATCGTGCATAGTGCTGGTTTATAACAAATAACATCCAGAATTCACCTTGGTCAACTCAGAAATTCAACTTAAATGAATTTGAACAACTTTGTGGTGGATTTTGAATATCATCTCAGGAGCAAACCATGAAATATCTCTAGACATAGAGCTTCATTCCAAGAGATGGTGGTCTTTTTCACCAACGATGAACCATTAGTTTGAGTCAAGTGTTTGTAACAAAGTCCAAGCTATGATTAACACTAAAAGTAGGTACACGTCATTGGCTTCAACAGCAAAACATGACATTTCCTTCTCAAGTTTTGTTATATTACTCTAAATAATATAGTCAATTCTCTTAGTAGAGCATAATGTTTCTAAAATTGAATTGTAAGCAAATTAATTCATTTTCAAAGCATATCCTTAAATGGACTTACATGTACAGTTAGCATTCATTTATTAACACAGTACTATGTATGGATGCTTTCATTGACTGAAAATGAAACATTGTCAATTTTTAGAGTTTGTTATATTTTTAGTATTAAAATTAAGTATGCTTTTTGAAGTTAGTGTTTTATAGTACTCAGAATAGATGTTTAAAGATGTTGTTATATATCATTTACTTTTAAAAGGGTAGAGTAAAAGTACTGATCACAGGTCCGTGGAATTCGACACATTCTTCATATACAGCTATGTTTGATGGAATCAGTGTTCCCACAACTTTGGTACAGAATGGTGTTCTGCGCTGCTTTTGCCCTGGTAAGAACTTTATATTTCCGAATCTTAGATATTAGAGTTTTACAATAGTTCGAAAACAAATTGGCTATGATTTTTAACATATGCAATTTGAGGTTACTGCGAAGTTTCATTATTACCATTACAGTATATGTCCTTTGTCATTGAGATAATACTATGTTAAGAAACAAACACATGCCACTTTCACTGTGAATGTGTGTTTAAGATCATGACACTGATTTTTAATAAGCAGAAACGAACATAAAATTGTAGACATTTTATTAAACTGATAAATGCATAACCACAACAGACAGCCCAAGTTCATGAGATTGATTTCAGGAAAACAGTCTTTGAGAACCAAGAATACCAAGCCCTCGAAACCGTTGCTATCGTGATTGCCTGATATGTTTGATGGACAGGTGACTGACCAACAAGCTTAAACTACCTTGTTTACACCAACCAATCAATCTTGTTTAGCACTACCTAATTGTGTGTGCATACGTTACTTGAAATCAGTTTATTTAATACATTGTTTGGAAACGCATAAGGCTTTATAGAAAGGCTTCATTTCATTTTCATGAGGATTGAGGGTGTTATTCAGATGAAAGAGATTCAAGGAAGTTCCGGACGACTTGGGCTGTCTGCTGTAACTAGGCGTTTAAATGATAATGCTCTGATGAAATACGCTGCATAGTGGTTCAGGATTTACAAAATCCTGGGCTTAACAAGATTTCTTATAATCCAGTCATTGTAGGTTAAACCAAGAACAAATTGCAATAGTAACGAATCTTGGAGAATTGTGTCCGCTTAAATGTCTCTTTTAACATATTAAACTGGGAATGACACTGACGTTGTTGTTAATTATTGGATTTGCATAAGATAAAGTGTATTTCATTTGTATACGTGTATTTTATGCTACATGAAAATTCAATAAGCAAACATCTTCAGTTTTGGCTGAAAAGTTTGTTTTTTGCTAAATAATGATGGAAACCTTAAAATGTCATTCGATCTCCACAACTGTAGGCTTTACCTTTGACAAACTGCAACAGAATAGAAAGTTCAAAGACTATCAGTTTATAACATACAAGAGTCTTAAGAAGTAAAATTAGCTTGTTCGAGAAATTTGTTATTAATATATCAGTTGGCCAATTTGAAGAAATAAGTTTTTATTTTTATCTAGCTACCCTAACTCATGTATAAAAATCCTGTAGAGCCCTTGGAACTGACCATATTTTTTTGGGGGGGGAAGATCATTTCTTACTAAAATTATCGCAAAAAAATCTGAGAATTACATATAAGTGTAGCAGTATGAACAATTTTGTTACATGCTTTATGTATGCATTTAGTCATATTCAATATGAATGTATTCAGGCTGAATCGAGTTTCGACGGCTAATAGCTAGGCTTTCTTCAGAAGTTGGGGAGCACAGAAGACCATGCTTCTTGCAGCCATTTCAATCTCATATAGTCTGCTTTACATTTACATATAACGGCCTTCAATAAAGCATCGGGAGCACTAATCGGGCACTGGTAACGAATCAGTCGTTACCAGTGAAAGTGGGTTTTCTCGGGGTACTCCCGTTTCCCCCACATTAAATTGTCGGCATAGGATTTTTAGATCCCCGTCGCCATGATGGAGCATCTGTCCAATATCGGCCGTTTAGTTTAGTTTAGTTTACTTTGCTCCTCACTTTTTATTGTCTACAGTTACTCTCTCGATTGCCTTCTTAAAGTTACATACCTCGTCTGCATTAATTTTCTATTTTCTCATGTTAAGCCCATATTCCTAGACCACGAGCGGGGTGAAGGAGGATTGTTTAATCTTCGAGCACCCCAGATTAGTAATTATTTCTTCGGAAATAATTATTTTTAAATCTAAATAACTGCCAGGAAAAACGAAACGAAACATCGGGAGCAGGTGGCATAACTGTCTCTTTAGGGACCATGTGATCATTGCACATAAGTCATCCCCAGTCTCTGCTCCTTCTCGTTTGTCTGACTTGAAAATATACACGCAGACTCTGATATTTAGTAGCTATGAATGTTGGGGTAAGTAATGTTGCTTCTATTTGATTTACAGGTTGCAACTTCATCACAAAACATGTTTAGGGAATCAAATTCAAATCACCATTTTTTTTTCTCTTTGTAGAATCATATCAGAGCCACCTTACTGGAACTAATAACTTTATTTGCTTTAGCATCCACTTTACTAAAAACATCAGCGTGCTTTCGAAAAAAAACAACAACAACAACTATCAATGAAAAGTTGCAATGAAACTCCTTTTCCGTTACCAAAAATACCTGTTCATGTTTCGCAATCTAGTACCTCATGCATAATTAAGATGTTGCAACATACATCAGGAAAAATAACAGCTTCAGCAGAACATATATTTCACATTCTTGGATCCTTTTGATATTTTTCTTAGGTTCAAGGCGCAAAACTATTTGTGTACTTTCACTTTCAGCACTACTAGATTATTTGAGGACAGAAACTGTATTTTTGGTTTAGTATACAATTAACAACATTGTTTTGATCAGTTTGGCCTGTTTTTACGGATATGCTATCTGCCCATTTTTCAATTTATTGATTTCTTCCTTCTTCACCCTTCTCTCGGAGAACAAGAACTCAACAAAGATGACTTCCATACTGCGTATTATTCATTTATATTGTTTATTTGGAAAATCTCTACACAAGCAATGTCGATAATGACAATAAAATTTGTACTTTTTTCCTACTGCTTGATAGATAGGCGTCAGAATTGCAAATACAGTAATCCTATAAACGCTGCACTGTTCCAGAATATTGAAATTTGTCAAACCAAGAAGGTTTTTTAAACCCAATTGTTGTAAACACGCTAAAAATAAAAGTATTTTCATCTCTAGGAAAATAAGTTTATAATATTTAATTGATTTCCACTAAATTAAAGTGATAATTTTATTAGTTGTAAGATAAACTGTTGTTGCTTCAATAGTTTAGGTCAGGGATAACCAATCTTTTTTTCACAGCGGGCCAGATAACAGAGAGAATGACGAGCGCGGCCGCATAACCATTTTGTTCAATACAATACAGTGAATACACAAAAAATAAAGGCAACAAACATATTTATTTACCAATACACAAAATACACCAAAAATAAAGACAACAAACATGTTTATTTACCAAAAAGTTATCAAAGAAGGCAACGTTAGCAATAAGATAGTTATATCACACCCAGTGCGCACATATCCGAATCTCACAAACTACAAGATGACTATAGTGTTAGTATGGGTACTTAAAACAATCTGTAGAGCGAACCGTGTAATATACGGGTAAAATATTTCAAGTATTTGTTATTTTAAGATGCATTTAACCAACAGATAAATATATTAAACACTACAGCCCCTAGTGGCACAGCGATAAGTCTGAAGGGGTATAGCGCTAAAACCAGGTTCGACACCCGTGGTGGGCACATCAGAGACAGCCCATTGTATAGCTTTGTGCTTAAATACAGACAAAGAAACATCACAG